AAGCACCTTTAGTATTAACCAGCTATTGCTTTTTGATCGCTTAAAATTTCCGCTTTGTTTCAAGAGGAAACCAACAAGTTTCAATATACCAGTTTGCTGTTGTTGTGCTTTTAGCTTTGTTGCCACTGCACACATGTGAAGCATGTGTATATGCATGCGAACAAATTCGTTCATGTATTTGTTCATGTATACATAGCTTGGTCTGGATGTCTCCATCGCCGCCTCGCCTCCACGCCTACAGCAAGACGCCAAGTATTACGCCTTTAGTCTTCCACAGGTAGGGCCGGGTTATACTATTGCAATAGTCTTTTTCTCCTTGAATTGTGTCATTTGAAGTCTTTTCTCAAATGAATGTATAGTTTATATGAAATACTAACACGTTGAAGTAGTCTCAGTCTCTTTTGATAACTGACAAGAAGCTTCAAACCCAGATCAAGTTTGTTTAAGTGGTAACAGGTGTGGATACCTCTAAATCAAAGTAAATGAATATGGTACTTCCTATATTTTGCGGTGCGCATTTTTCAACGGAAGTCAATTAAACTATCGATAGTCACACATACTATCGATGCATCGATAGTTTTTAGTTTCTACCATCGATTAATTGCCTCAACAATTGCAATCCATCGATCGTTCAATGCATCGTTACAGCCCTAGTTATGATACTGAGAGATGTTACGTGACCTGCATCAATTAAATCGTAACATTTTCTTGTATATAGTTTTTCTTTTATATCCGGTAGTTATCTCTTTTTGTTAGGTTGGGAGCACGATCTAAATTTCGTTCTCTGTCTGAAATGGCTCAAAATTGACCGAACAGACTATCCAATTTACAGACTATCTCTTTTTATAGGTAACACTTGAAATTCCAGCAATATTTTGTTTACGAATTATATCGGAAAATTATATATATATTATATATACGAATTAATTCGGAAAAGCCAAAATTGTGGTGAACTTGAACGTTTACCAAGTGTATGAAGCTGAAGACACCATGGCCACAGCAATAGAAGATTGGACCAACCGTAAAACCTGGACCCGTTCTGTTAGGATATATGTAATAACAAAACGAAATGCATACAAAAATAAAACTCGGAAAAATGATTTTCAGTGGTTTGCAAACAAACAAGAAATTGTTATTCCATGGTGATGTACACATGTATACACGGGGATTTTTTGTTATTATATGCACCCATAATCAGTGTGCAATTGCTTGACTTCATGATGTATTACGCAGGTGAGAGGTTTGAGGGACTGGTTTGATGAAGATGAGGAGGTAAGATAAAGAGCTCAGCATTTTCCGTGAATATGTAAACGTGCTTGAAGCCACCCACCTACTCACTCATTCTCCCAAATACAAAATGTTAAAACAACATTGATGATCAAACAGAACGCGTCTTGAAGTTCGGAGGAAGTTCGGTACCAGTAAATTCGTGATGCAGTCATCCAGTTTCTTAATTCAAATCGAAACCATCGGTTGAAAACATATCTTTCGGTTTTAATTCCGGGCAATTTGCATCTGATAATGAACAGCTACTGCAATATATCCAAATTTGCATGTATTGTCTCCTACCTTTCCTGTGTTTGTTGGAGACAAGTGGACAATTTATGACGAAACTGTAAGATATACGTCCCTCATACGTCCGTTCTAGGACCATCCAGCGGGCTACAGAGATGAGGACGACCATCTCCCATCAGCAGCCCACACCAACAGGAAGAGGTGCAGACATACATCCAGGTGGTCCACGGCCCAAGTCGACAAGCAGGTGCTGCTGCTCCTGTTGCCGTTTTCCAAACTGAGTCTGTATCCCCCCACAAAACGACGTGCTGGTCGAGACAAGGTGGGAGGCACAGTAAGTCCTGGCGAACGTGGGCCTCGATCCAAGAAGGTAAGTAATGATGCTCTTGCCACTGTCTCCTAATATCAGGACTAAGGTTCTCGTTTATATATTCAAACTATCTTCCGTGTGTCATCGTGTGGTCATTAATCTGAACACACGTCATTTGTTGTAGTACATGCAAAACTCTAATATCAATCCATCATGTGGAGAATGATATCATAGTCACGTTGCGGGAGGGTTCGGGTTTTATCTTTTTGAGTCCAGAATAATAATCGTTCTTGTGTTGCCGCAGAATGTTTTAATCATATTATTTCTAAAATGTCAGGGTTCACAGCATGTAATAAGATGTTGAAAAACCGGTAGTTTAAATCAATTAACATTTAAGCGGTACATTGTTTTCACAGTTTAAAATGGTAGGGTACGTTCGTCTGTTAACCCAAAGAAAAGACTTCTTTTGGTCTCATCACGATAGAACAACAAGTAAAAGTTCATGTTTTTTCTTCTCTCTAGGTTCAAGCCCATAGAGATATCTCCAGTGACCAGCCACTTGACCTTTCCCGCAAACGAAAGCGGAGCGATCTGGTCATCACTGTTGGCGACAAGCACCGCCGCGTGGAGGCAGCACCGCTCTCTCTTCCGGGTATGGAGACTGTCAACCAGATGGAGACACGTAAGACGGGAGAAACGGCCTCCACGGCAGAAAACCCGGGAAACGTGAGCCGCAGCAGACGTCGTGTGTGGCGGAGAAAGCAAGGCAACTCCCCCACCAAGCAGACGGCTGATGTCTCGAGCTCCGCAACCAACCGACGGCGCATCCAGAGACTTGCCGAGACACCACTTGACCTCAGCATGACAGGTCAGAGGTCGTGGTAAGGTCAGGATAGTAAGTCGGATAAAAATAAAACAATAAAAATAAAATAAATAAATAATAAAATAAAATAGAATAAAACAGAATAAATAAATGAAATGAAATAAAATGTTCACATAGTGCTATCTGTAGAAATACATGTCATATGATAAACTATAAAGATAAATAGACTAGTAACATACTAACTAAATAGCTAGACGTGATAAACTTCATGATATTGCTTTTTATATAAGTATGTGCCCCTTACATGCTATGCTTCAGCATATTTAGATATCTGAAAGTATAACATTTATTACTGTTGTACATAAAACCAGATGTTATAAAGGTCAACTTAATCAGGGGCGGTGGGGTAGCCTAATGGTTAAAGCGTTGGCTCGTCACGCCGATGCCCCGGGTTCGAATCCCCACATGGGCACAATGTGTGAAGCCCATTTCTGGTGTCCCTCGCCGTGATGTTGCTGGAATATTGCTAAAAGCAGCGTAAAAACCAAACTCAGTCAGTCAGTCATCTTAATCATGATTTTGGTTCTTTATATATATATATATGGTGGTGTAGGTCTACCTTATGATGAACTATTTGTTATTCAACCAACAGATGTAATAAAAACTTATTATGTGTTTATCCTATCTCACTTGTATTTACAATGGGGTTTGTGTTATAAATAGAGGTCATACGACGATGTTAATGCTATAAATGTCATAAAGGGTAATATTTACGATCATGCTAGTGCTATAAACAGATGTTTTTGAAGAGGGTATTTATGATGGTGTTAGTGCTACGAAACGTATTTTTATGATGATGTTAGAGATATAGATGTCATAAAGGTAATATCTACTGTGGTTTTAGTACTATAAATAGATGTCATAAAGATAATATCGACTATGGTTTTAGTACTATAAATAGATGTCATAAAGGTAATATCCACTATGGTTTTAGTACTATAAATAGATGTCATAAAGGTAATATCTACTGTGGTTTTAGTACTATAATAGATGTCATAAAGGTAATATCTACTATGGTTTTAGTACTATAAATAGATGTCATAAAGGTAATATCTACTGTGGTTTTAGTACTATAACTAGATGTCATAAAGGTAATATCTACAATGGCATATATAAATGTTATCAAGATAGTATCTACAATTGTGCAAGTGCTATAAATAGATAATCTGATAATAGTGGGTTTTTTAAAAAATAGATTTTACTTTTTGGCAGTTTACGTGGGATCTTCCACGTCAGAATAGGCCCTCTTAAATTCTAACAAATGCAGTAAGACGCTGGTTGACACCTGTGTTTAATCTCTCTCTGATATCATTGACTGTTAGATTTTGTTGCGTCTGCACAAAATTTACATTTAGGCTTATCCCCTGTTTAAACTAAATACAAATAAATGAATGCCTTTCAATCACTATAGTTACAATGTCCTTCCTGCTCATTATTGATTAAATTTTAAGGAAAATAAATCAAATATGAATCAAACACCTATCTGGCTGACCTTGAAATACACCAAAAAATGGACATAAGTATGACTGGATTAAGATTTCAAATATCAATGCAATTACTTCATGAGGACTGATGCTTTGTGTTGAAAATGTTACAACATTTCCATAGTATCATACATTTATTCAATAAACTAGTAAAGCTCTTATTCGGAATTATGTCTTTATATATTTGTTTGTGAAAACAGGCAATTTTCTTCAAGCCTTGTTCGTAATTGTATACATTCAATGTGAACAAGAAGAGAGTTTGTGCATTTGGTGTAGCACAGCTGCAGTCAAAACTTCAGCTGCACCAAGGGCGATCAGTCTTGGTTGTTTGCCACAGTGGTGAAACCACGAGGATGAATGTTGTACTGAAATTCAAAGATTTAAGTCAGGGTGTATCTTGGACACATCAAAGGGACCCATTGCACATCGCAAGTGAGCTTCCCTGAAACCCTGCATGATACACGACAAAGATGAAAAAGTTAGTGGACTACATCTCCTGAGGAACACATGTTCACTCCTGGGAGTCAGATCGCCCAACTGGGTGAATATGGATAGTGAGTTTAGTAATGGCTGAATGTAGCAACTTTGCTATCAGAACAAGAAGCATATGGGTCCAGAACTACACATCTTGGTTTCTCCAGGAGTTTCAAATTTTGGGCTAGTGAATTATTTTTGTGGGCTAGTAACTTTCAGGCATAGCTAGCCCGACTGGCTAGCAAAATTTGGAAACTATTTGCACACTCTCTTCTGTGGGCAATGTCAATGAATTGAGATTTGCAGACACACACACAGACAGACAAGAACTTCCTTGAAAGCTGATCTCATCTTTATACAGTAATAAACAGTTTGATCTGTGTATTGTGAAACATCACGCTTCACCACTGCATCAAACAGATGCACACAACATATGAAATACATAAATACAAACATTCAGATTCATCTCAATAATGTATCCCATTCATGAACTAGCAAACAAATATACTACATTATAATGAAATGAAAACATTAATTACAAAACAATTGACGAACACAATTCAGTTAATCATTTCATATTCCTGATATCCAGGGATTTGAATTTTCGCGGAATTCCGGGAATTTCATAAGGCCAAGGGTCATTTTTGTGAATCATCTAAATCCGTATAATTTGGCCTCGATTTGGCCCTCGGCTAGTTTTCAGAGTTTTTCTCAAAACTTCATTCTCATCCCGGATATCGGGGCAATTGACCCCAAGAAGAACTGCTTCGTCCCCACCAACCACTTAAAAAACTGACTCTGATAACATAACACAGGACAAGTATCATTTTTGAGAGAGTTAAAATTCAATGTTGCATCAGCGTTGTCATCCCAAAAGCGACAATTGTTTTTATTGATGTCACCCTGGATACTAACATGAAGTAACTAACAATACTTCAGTACGTGGTATTGTGAAACACATGACTCTGCTTCTTCCTTTCATATAATACATGTACATTACTACAACATACTTACCATCACTGTCTTGAACCACTCCACACACTAGGAGCTCAAATTCTGTAGGCATGTGTAAACACTGATACTCCAACACCTAATTAAGAGGTACACACTCTAAATATTCACGTTTATTCTGACTGCCTAAATGTATAAACAACTGTATCAGATACCTGTCCTGTGTTAAATTATAGCCGGGCACTATTCCAGGTGACATATATCCAATGTTTCGGTTACCCTGATGCCACCACACAATAATGAATGACTCCACATACCCATCCTACAATAATGCTGTACTCATAATGCAATACTGATTTCACAAATGTAATATAATGCTCAACTTCTGAAAGACATCGTCCGATAATGTCATTCTAGTTTTGATGTAAACATTATATTATGACAATATTTACATTATGACAGTAGGTTTTGTGCTTCATGGAAAGATAACAATATCCTTATCAAAAGTAGAGAGGTATATTTATACCATAACATACTTTGATTTCATAAAATAGAAGCACTAGAATAAAAGCTTGAAAATAAAGTAACAAATTCACAATGGCCAACATAGTGGCAATATTGGTTTTAAACAATGTGAGTGTTCATTCAACGTGTGATAGCAAATAAACACACAATGCACCACTTGTACCTGCATAAGTAATGTTTCAAGTCAAAGTCAAGGAGGAACACTTTTTATAGATAGACAACTTCTTTACAGCAATAGATGCGATGTTTCAGTGTAGATGCTAACACTGTTATCAAGCAAATGATGATAACTGTGTTAGCACCAGCACCGAAACGTCACATCTATTTCAATAAAGAAGTTGTCTATGCGAAAACAATAACCCTCAGACGTGACCCCATCAGGTCTATGACAGGACCTCAGACCCACTCAGGCATTCTGCGGTGTTTGTTTATGTAAAATGACCTCAAGAAGAGTAGTTACTAGTAGTTGTGCAATGTACATGTTTGTAAAGAAATAACAGTACTTTCTTCCCATACATGGTATTTGTGTCCACTCCTATATGGCATATGTTTTCTATCACCTTACTCACAGAGCTAACAGCCCCAATCTTCATGTACTGCAGGGCTATAGCTGTCGCTGATCAGATGAAAGTTTACTTTCTTGGTGGCATCTGCTGTGTTACGACTGAAATAATGATCATTCACATATTTGCAACTTATCAATTATTTATGTTCAATTGTGGAGGGTGTGTAAGGGGTGGAATGTTTTATTGGGACAAAGTACATATCTGCCATGTTATAGATCAGTGTCCAACGACTGGCATAATTCAACTGAACAGACAGAGTTCAAGTCTGGTGACATGTATCCATGGATGCTGCATTCCCCTCTATCTGTCGCTGTCGTACTCCACCTCTGTCTTGTACTCCTGCATGAACTGTTCATAGATGCACTGCAGACAACATGGCTGACCACTGCAAGCAGAAACAGGTCAGATCAAGGAACTCTCTAAACTGAAACAGTATCATGACACTTTGCTATCTATGTACATCTCTACCTGCTAATTACAGTCTAACAGTATATATAACTGGGGCAAGTTATTCCTCCCATTGTAAAAGTAACCTGTCACACATCACCAGTGCCAGTGCTTAAAGATCACAGCAGCTGTCACGGAGGATGATGGTTCCCCGTCATGAAGTTCAAATATATGAAAATAGAAAGCCATTAGTTCCACTGTTGACAATGAAGTCGATATTTCAACTTTACCGAGATGCAACCTATGAATGGAAAATTTATATCGATCTCATCCAACAACCTGATTCAACCAGGATTTCTTTATTCTTGAAAAATTAAATTCCAGCATATTTCATATTTGAGTACAAACCATTTGTCCGTGTTCAAGCTGCTGTGTGATGTGATACACACCTGATTATACTGGTTAGATAGTGCGCCCACTCAGTCAGCGGAGATAGGATAGCAGAGTCTCAGCCTTTCAAGTGTCAGCCGATTATACATCTCAACATCGAAGCAGTTTCTGGTGCCACCATCTCCAAGTTAGAGTCATGGTGGAGCTAGATACACCAGGGTCACCAAAGGTCAATAGGTCATGAGGTCAAGGTCAAATGCATGCAAGGTCAAACTTGTTGCAGTTGGGGAGAAAGCTAAGGGTGAAGCAAACAACATTGTACACAACACTCCATGCAGGAAATGAGGGATGCATCAAAGCTGTAGAATTACCTGTAAGTATACCATTTATTGTACAGATACGCAGTGCTCTACTGAGAACACACACACACACACACAACACTAAAACTCTGATTTTTCATATACCTGGTACATGCATGTTAATATAGTAACAAATCTTCCCTAATAAGTTGTTCATTCCACAAGAGAAAAACATGGTGTTGGTGGTGTTTTACATTTCACAGAAGGCAGAATTAATCCTTTTGTCCCTCTTTTTACAGTTTTTGTTTATCAAAGGAGATAAAAGATAGATTTTTTTTTCAAAATATGGTCAGATTAATACATTACTGAAATAGTGCTTGAGTGAGTAAGGACTTTTAGGAAATTTTCAGCAATATCATGGCAGGGGACACCAGAAATGGGCTTCACACCTTGATCCCATGTGAGGAATTGAACCCGGGTCTTTGGCATCATGAGCCAATGCTTTGACCTCTATACTATCCCGCCGCCCCAATATTATTGAAAGAAAAGTTTTAACAAAGATTTAACAAAAGATATCTGAATATTTTCAATCAAACAAGCCAAATAAAGTCTGTTATTATCTTATTCTAGATTGACCTCACTTGAATATATATTGGTACATATTTATTACAACTCAAGCTGAATGTTTCTCATAAATAAATAAATCTTATCTTGTCAGTAGCACTTGACAAATCTTCTGTGATTCTGATAAATACAGTTAGGTCTTCAGTGTCTACACATGCATAGAACCTCAGGACAAAAATCAAAGTTTTATTGTTAAAACTGTGCATAATTCATTTTGATCTGAAAAAAGAACGTCATAGATACATTTAACAAATGTATGGTTTATTTCAATTAAAATATATATCACAGACTGATTTAATTACACATGAAATAACTTAAGGAGAAAAACAAAACAACTATGCACATTAATATGTCTTCGGAAAGAGAAAATATTCACAATAAACAGTTACCTTATTATTTGATTTAAATAGTTTAACTATACACATGAGATAATGTAGCTGTATGAATAACTGGTTTCTAAAACCTGAGAAGTGAGTTACAAAGTAATGTCATTTCCATCATGTTGATATTGATACAGTAATGTCAATGACCTGTCAATTTCAAAATGGACACAACATCACTGGGGAGCTGGCCATGCCTCAGTGATGTCGATGACTTGTCAATTTTCAAATAGACACATCATCACTGCATGGCAATGAAGACACTCTTACACTGTGGAAGTCCTGATAATGACGATGTTATATACATGCATGCTGATAGGTAGATACATGTTCTACATGCAACTGCTATGTACATCAGGTGACACTGATAAGTTACATGATATCTACATGAGTACGTCAATACCAATTACAGCAGTCATCCTGGTATTTTATAACTTACATAATGGCACCAGTTAATATCACAAAAACAATACTCTGAGGTGTAGAAGTCAAATAAAACTCTAGATGATATGAAATGTAATGGCACACCGCAAATACTTAGGATTAAAGCTTGTAAGCAGAAATGAATAATCAGAGTATCATATTCATTGAACCAACCTGAGGAGTTAAGTATGAAACAATGATTCATCTATACTGATCACTTAATAATGGGTATGTTTTCTTGAAGTCACCCCTGAAATATAAATATTACTGTAAAAGATCATATTTCTGAGGAGCAAAAGATGTACTAACCTTGTGGGCTAATTCAATGCATAAAAATTCATTTCGGTCACAGTTTGATGAATTTCATAATTGCGGTGTGTCATATCACATCATACTACAGCATGAACAAAATCTACAAAATATCATTCTTTGGTATAAGCATACAGGCTGATGATCCACAGAGTTGACATTGCAAAATACACCAGACAATGTCTCACAACTGTAATAATTTAGAAACCGATGGATTCAAACTAAACAAATCTGTTCACCTAATTATAACATGGTTTCCTCTCGTATACAATGCCTATGCAATACGATCTGAGGATGACTCAACAAAAAGTTTAGTGTAATATGTTTTCTCTGGTACAGCATTTGGTAATAGCTTTCAGGAAATGTTGCTTAAGCTTGTTTCTGACATACAGAATTCTGATAATCTGGTATGAATGCTTCACTCAGTTGGTCTGAAAATATGGAATCCCGGATGCTGACTGGATGATCAGAAAGTTCACCTCGCACACCTGATCAGTTAGTTTAGACACCCTCCTCAGGTCTGAACACAGACGTGTATCATACAGCAGCAAAAGATCTTACTTCAATGGAATTGCATTTCACAAAGCTCTCGTAAGCCTTAGATCTCTAGATCTCTTTTCTTGTAGCATTCGCACCTCCTATACTGTAACATAGACTTACGACAGTCGTAGGGCTACAATAGCTTTGTGAAATGGGGCCTTGGTTAACTCAAACTTCTCTGGGACTAGAGAAAACACACTGAGCTCTGAGTATCTTAAGTTGAAGATAAGGTGATTGTCGCTATTAGAAAAGACTTCCTGTGTCTGTGTCTGAGTTTGTAGTATCCCTGTATATCCCATCTACAGCATGTATCTCTGCAAGTCAACTCTGGGGACCATCAGCCATCTGGCACTACTGACAACAAAGCTACTAGTTTCGCCGTGAGACATGTACATGCAGGTGTGAAGGAGACGTTGGTATCAGGAGTGACAATGCAGGTGGAGGAGGCAGCATGCCGATGGCCCTGGGTGTGGCTAGCTCTACCTATAAACTGTATCTTGGGTAGGTTCAGCGTAGAAGTCCTCGACCCCTGGCGGTGGGGACCCTAGTCGTCGTGGCAACCCAAGCTGCTGGGACAGCGGTCTGTAGTCTGATAGGTTGGGTAGCTGCGGTAGATCGGGGTTAGAATAGCCTGCAGCAGATCACAATCACAGCAGTCAAGTTTCAATAATAATCATAAGCAGAACAACAAGAAGGAACAACGCAGAGCGCCTAAAAATAACAGTAATGATAGCTGCACCAGTAACCACCAGGCAACAGATGGTCAGCCTCTGTAGATTCACCTGACTGCATGTCATATCACCCTGAAGCATGACATGTTCGAAACTCATGGTTTCAGTCACTGGTTTTATTGGTCCCTCATCACTATTTTACAAGAAAATTAAACATTGCAGAAATGTTCTACCTAATTCTACAAAATCCACTTATCTCACAATTTCCATGTTTAATGTTAAATTTGGTATCACACCTTCACATATTCCTAAATCGAAAGCCCTGTATACTGGTAGAGTAGTATTGCCTACCACTATCTTCTATTTCACACAAGCAAAAAATCTATTCACACTTCCTGATGAATCAGTTTTGTAACAGTACGATCTAGAAGCTAGAAGGTCATGTAATCACTTATGGTGTGCTACTGAGGCCAATCTGTTATCTGTTACGGAAGTCAATGCAATGTACACTGTCATATGTTAATTGATGAAAAACATGAACATTGCAACATAAACATACAAAAATAATTTCCTGTATCAGTTCATATTTAACACTTTTTTCAGAAGAGCACCCCCTTTTCCTTAATCTCCTTTAACATGAAGGTGACCCCAATTATCTCCCCTTGGTAACTCAAAGTGTGGTGTGGAATTATCAAACAGTTATATAAACTTTGGAACATGTATTGTTACTTCACAGGGCAAGAGATCTAATTTACCGGTAACAACCTTCAAACACATTAATAAAATATCAATGAAAAGTTTTAAACCAGATATGATAAAAATATTAAGTAATTTGCATGATAAGAATTTGTAAGTTCCCTTGTAGTAGTAATGGTGGTACACGCATAACTATCAAGCGTTCAACCTAGTGATTGAGACTTGCAGACAACAAATTAGGTTTCACTAAAGACTCTACAATAATCAGTAGAAGCTGATTCAACCTTAAAATACCTTAGAGATAATAGAACATCACATAATGACCTGTTGATGAAAGATTTGATATTCATTTGAAATATACAACACATATCTATGTTAATGACAAATTTGTGCCATATCATTTATAGATAGTGCAATATACATGTTTAAATAAACTAGTACTATTCAGATCAGCTGACATATGAGTGAAACGTACCTGCCAGCATGGCTTCGTAGGCTATGGAAGACGGTGTGATAACATTGGGAGCCTTTGATCGCCTGTAACATACATCATAGTGAAATCAATCACTGTCAACAGGTGAATATACAACATATATACTTAAACTGTTCCACTGACGGTCAGTTGTCAAACTAACATCTCAGACATTACTGTTATAAATGAGCAAGACCAAAAGGATATCTTACACTCACAAAATTTAAGTAGTTCTTGACCGTTAGGCTATAAAGTACACCTGCTGTTTTCCAAAGCATCTGTTTAGTAAAAACTGAAAATCGTATATCACAGACAAATCTGACTAAGGTTCAAATGATTATTGTCAACAAACATGTCAGAAGAATACACAATGTACAGTTGCATAACTTGTTCTGATGATACCTTAATATCACATTACATTTTTATACAGAGACTGATATCCTGCATTAATAAGGCCCAAAGCCTTAGGTGCAACATCTTAGACTTCCACCAGAAATCTCTGACAACACTTCTCCACCCCCTAGCAGTCCTAACTCTACCCCCCCCAAAGCCTAGTTCCCCTGACCGTAGTGTCCTCATGGCTACGGCTGACTTGGGTCGTCTCTTCATGCTGTCAGGGAGGCCATCCTTCCACCCAGGGGTGTGGCCGGACTTGGGGCGCTTCAACTGCTGCTCCCAGTACAGGTCCCGTCCCCCTCCCATCCAGTATTCCGCCCGGTGGATGTGTAGTCTGCTGGAGGGGGTCCCCGTCAGGGCAGGGGACGTTGGTCTCTGCAGGGGTGGTTGTTTGGCTGTAACAGATACGGTGGTTCCAGTAGTATATCACTGTGATGAATACTTACACCACTTCAGACCAGCAATGTGAGATAAAGTATCAGAACTTTTACATTATAAACCAGAAACTAGAAACAAGGGAAGAGCTGGCTGGTTTTACAACATCATCTTCATTTCCATGGAATGGTAAAATGTTGTTTATTAGAATTTCACCCCACATACAATAATAAGAGAAATATCTGACTGAGTTATTGTCTGTAGTACATCTGCAGTGAATTCAATGTCTTTAAAGTATTCAGTATTCAAACCCACTTCCCAGTTTCAGGTTGTGACTTACAAGACACACTGTTAAGCTCCAGCAATATATTCCAGTCATATCAGGACTGTCTATAAAGAATCTTGGCCAGGCAATCAGTGGCCAACAGCATGAGCAGTACTCCAGATTTCTGGGCATAACAGTCAGCCTGGCTACACACCACACATATTGAAAGTTACCTATTATTTCCTTAAACTCAGGTTGATGTCTGTCGCTATGTTGCAATGCTCCTACCTGTGGGTGTGGAGGGAACTGACGCCCGTTTCTTCCACACTTCTGTTCGAGCTCTCTGGAAGTCTGTGTTGTAGCCACTCTGTGGCCGACTGGCCGGTTGGGCAGTCACGAAGTACCGGTAGGCGTCCACCGCACTGAATGGTCGACTACTCCTTCCAGGTGTGGCTTTCTTGCTGTACACACACAAAAGCTGACATGTTAACAACAGATGCTATAGATGTTGTAAACTAACTGAACCCTACAGTTAAAAATCGTAAAGAAGGTTGTAATATTTCGACTGCAATGACAAGGAAAACTTCAACACAATGGACAATTTCATGACTGGATCCCTGTGCTAGTTTACACAATCTTACAGTGAATTTGTCATGACTTGAGGTAAATATGACTTTGAAACAACAAAATGTCAAAATACAGTCCTACAATGTGCTCTGGTGAAACCCATATGCAAACAAGAGAGTCTGGATTCAACCCTCAAGGTTTAAGAAATGCAACTCAGCACAGCAATTGCGACAACCGAGTCCTCAAATTTACACATAGCCAGCAATGGTATAGCCTACAGAAGCACAAGCATGTACAGTTGATGTCGAGATCACGCCAAGTGGCGGCACACGTACAGGCTGTGAGGATAATGTCCTATTTGTTGTGTTATACAAAGTGTGCATTCGGGAACATTATGAGACAACATGACTATGGCTAAATGTTGATCTGCTGCTATGTCATCATCCACAGAGACAAAATATATTATATAAATGCACAGGGAACTGAAATATTTCACTTTGGTTACTCTATACTGTCTGACCATTTTGTATTGTGCTCTACAGATATCCAACAGGCGACCAGGAATATCAGTTATGTAAAATGGAAGGATATCAACATCTCTTGTGAAATGTGAAATGATCTAACACATATAATGACATCATCCACTTGTACAAGTATTTACTCTGACACCTCACAGAGAGACGTTCCAGCAAAGACAAGACAAGTGACTGTTGGAAAAGAAATGTCTTGGTTTTCTGATGAAATCAGAGCAGCCAAGCAGGAGCCTCACAGCTAGATAGATAGAAGTGCAAAACCTTGCTTACAGTCCTTCGCCAGATGCATGTCTTTCCAAGTTGAGCAGGTCCAAGCAGCTAGACTGCATAAAAATATACATAGGCAAAATCTCAGAGATGTCCTGCAATCAGCCCAAAAGACTGGTCATGGCACAGAAACAGCTTTGCTCCCCATGCAAAATGACCCACTTCATGCACCGGATTCCCAGGAATTCTTGGATGTGACAGTAACAGACACAAAGGACAACAGCCTGCTATACGTCAGTAGTACTGATGAAGTGAGATCAGACAGAAGGAAACTGAAATATGGAGTGCCACAACGACTATTCTTGGCTTCATACTTTTCACCATATACACTCTACAAGCTGAAGAATCGACATCATCAGTAAGAGAGAATCACAACCTACAGAGTTGACATCAAAAGTTGGATGACGACAAACTTCATGAAATTTTGACCATTACTTCCAAAATAAGCATCCCAGCTTCAACATCCCAACATATATGCTGGGGACAGACGTGTTCAACCAAGGAGTCACAGAAGAACTGTAGGCATGATCAAGAACTGATTCAACATTAAGTTTGAAAAACCATGTGAATACCATCTGCAAGGTGCATACCTTCACATAAGTAACAACAGGCAACTCAGTACACATATGGACAAGGAGTTACATGCTTAGTCCATGCATTGTCACTTCAGGCTTAGACTATTGCATGGTTAGAAAGTCTCCTGCATCTTCAAAATCACCTGGACAATCTACATTGTATACAAAATACTGCTGCCAAGCTCAAAGAACTGCATTTGCTACCTGTAGGACAGAGAATCACGTTAGAGCTGCTGGTATTTGTCTGCAAATCATTTCATTGTCTGGCTCCAAGCATTACAATGTTCCTACCAACAACTGATGGTGGGGTCACCAGCCCACACAAGAACATATGGAAACAGAACCTGCAACAGAGCTGATGCTGCTCTATGGAATGAGCAGTGGATGTCAAGAGATCTAAGCATATCAGCTGCTTCTGTTCAACAACGAAGGGGGAGGTGGGAAGCCTAGTGCTTAAAGTGCTTGCTTGTCACGCCAAAGACCCAGGTTCAAATCCCCACATGGGTACAATGCATGAAGCCCTTTTCTGGAGTACCCTTCAGTGATATTGCTGGAATATTGCTAAAAGAGGCATAAAATGATTACTCACTCACTCACTCAACAACGAAGACCATCTTCTTAAAAAAAATAATGTGACTGAGTGATCTCACACTGGGAGTATGTTACATATATATAATACATGATAGACTATCTATCAATTCTGAAAACAACATATTAAAGGTCACATAAACCCTAGGGGGTACAAATACATAAATCACTAACTGGCATCGTTATAAATGAAACCCCGTCATTAAAACTACTCATTTCGTCCTTTAATTGACTTAAATCGACCTTTTTGACAACAGTGCACAATTCTCACCCGCGAACGAAATTTCAACCAATCAGAGCGGCGCGCCTCTGTGACGTCATATGAGGAATAGCTTTGAGAGCCGATGCAGAATTCATCTACATTTTAGGGGGTAAATTATCGTGTTTACAGGCTTGTATAAACCTGAAATCGTGACAATTGTTGTGGAAAATGAAAGCTATATGTTCTCACAATCTACTGTCATTTAATTTTGTCTCCTGCTTTGCCTAGTTTCGAGTTACAACTTGTTTTCATAGGCGATTCTGTCAAAATCGATTGGTGTCGTTAGGCCCTATTTGTATAATGACTGATCCAAATTGATCCCATTTCTGTGTTGTTTTACCTCGATATTTAATCATGTCATGTAAAAATCTGTTTGTATTCTCAAAGCAGTGTCGGCCCATAAGTTTTCACATGCAATACAGCAATTAATACTCCCTCGTTGTAACCCGTGTTAGGTGGTATAAACCTACACATGTTATTTGTCATCATTCACTTGATGGTCAGTTAATGAATTTAAAACAGGTATAATTAGTGGTAACACACTTAGATTACCCGACAAAGGTTCCCATTTGGCATTTCTTGTGTCTGGAGTAAATATCAACATTATAAACATCGATCAAAGGATTAACCGATAACACGCTGATTGATTAATTACTTTTATCTTACACAGCGGAATTGTCAAAGGTAGTGTTTATGTATGTAGATTTACTAATCTATACTGAATACACTCTGTCGTGTCGGTGTCTGCGTAAAACAACGTCCTTCTTTCAAAGGATTAACCGGCAATACATTGATTGATTGCCCATTATTGGCTAACTAAATTACTGTTTTTTAAAGAAAGGCGGACATTATGCAATTAGTTGCCAGGTGTGCTATCTTGGGTGACCAATGAGACTATACACCAATACCTGAAAAGATTTATCACTTTTTCGTATATTAAACTGTTAAAAGACACATCATTTGGAACAGTTTTGTGGATATTGATGGATACATTCCTCGAACAAGGTAATGGCCTGATATTGTTCCTATAACTTTAATCTGTTTTAATTTTAATATTTGCATTTTGTTTTTATTCATTTGTCGTAGCATTCAACAGAATCATTGTTTTAGCCGTGAAGTGTAATGAGACAGACAACATGCACTAGGGGTGTGTCGCGAATTATGATTCACATTGGCAAACTATAAAATGTCTAGATATTACAGTTCTGTTATAAATTCACTATAAGTATCAGCAGATCGTCTGCTTTTATTTAGTTTCAAAATGCATACAAGTGTGATAATAAACTAATTGGGATTATAAGACCAAATATAAAGGCGCACATTGACTAGTATCTACATACTGGTGAGTGGACATTAACCATGGGAATGTAGCAAGAAATTTATCGGCGCAGTATTGTGACTCGACCCCCACCTGGCTTCCGTGGAAGAAATCGTTATGTTATAAGTTGTGTCATGCAAAATCCGTTTGGTTATGATTCCAATACATATTTAACACGAAAGAGTAGAAAGTAGTCTTGATTTTCTAACAGTGAAAACAAACTATAATCTCATTAATTCTAACAGATTTTTTATTTTTAAAATGGCGGCCCTGTAGGAACATCCGCCAGTCTGAGGATAAATGCTATTTAGGTTTGTTTTCACCGAGTTCTAAAATCAAAACTACTTTCTACTGGTAGTAAAATATGTATTTTATTGATAGCCAATAGGATTTTGCATGACATAGCGTATATCATAACAATTTCTCTCGTGGCAGCGAGGTGGAGTCAATATATACTACTTACAATATTATTGTTACCGACGACACAACCTCACTTCCGAGGAAGAAATTGTTATGTTACAAGTTGTGTCATAGAAAATCTTTATGGTCATCAATCATATGCATATTTTACTACAACTAGTAAGTAGTTTTGATTCTTTAACTTCCGTGAAGCGATCTGAACACAAGTAAGATATCGTTTCAGGCTTCCCTGGCGGCTAAACCGCACTCACAAACATAACCCATTTAGCCACGAACTGCGGGGTCCTGTGAAAATCTGTGCATGGGGACACCATCGCCCGACCCTAGGAGCAATTGGCGACAAAACAGCGATTCGGCATGTCGTCGTTGATGTCGAGAAATCATCAAAATGATGAGCGTGCTACACATTTTCTATACAACTAACTGAAAATCGTTCCTCATATGACGTCACTGCAGTGCTCTGGCGACAGAGTTACGTAACCTGTCTGTGGTTTCGTTGGCGGGCGAGAGGGAAGCAGGCGACTTTTTGGCCACTTTTAATCGCTCGGTATTAATTAACCACAAGTTTTTAAAGAATAAATTTGGTGTTCCGCATAAGACTAACCACAAATCTGTCATATGTAATGGTTAAAAGAGTAACAAAAAACAAAGTTTAGTGGTTCTTTAAAGGCATTTACATCTGCCCTGATAATGACCTGTGGACGCTGTTGGTGATCCCCTTCCGTAACTTCCCCTGAGCTCTTGTCCCCCTCTCCCTCCCTGTGTTGGGTTCACTCTCCCCTTCCAACACACTGGGCAGCTGGACCTCAAAATGAACAGGGGGAGGCAACTCTGATGCTGGTCTATTGTAGTTGCCTCCCTTAGATGAAGAGGAGGGTGACTTGGAGTTGTCTGCATGAAGAGACTGTAACTCTGGCTCCTCGTCTGAATGAAAGTCTGGGTCTGATCTGAAGAAGAAATATATGGTTCATGAAAAACTATGTCATCTTCCCCCAGGTACAAATGTGTGAACATTAATAGGTGAGCTACAAACCTGTTGTACTGCCTGTCTGCAGCCGATGGGGTTGAGTGTCCGTCTATCTGCACCAGCAGGGACCCCTGGACAGAACCCTGGGGGACAGAAACAACAGTACTGTGAGCTGGGTTTAACACAGACAATTTGCACAGATAGTTTCCAGTTAGACTTATCACTGCACATAAGCATTTTCAAGCAAGTGTCACAATACCCAGTCAGGGGAGATAACTCATAACATCAATTTTCTACCAAACGTGTCAGCCATGTAAGTGAAACAACACAGTAAATTCAATGGAAGCATCTTGACCTCATACAGTTCAAATCATACCCTTGACCCTTTCACCATCATCTGTGGGTGGCATTGATTATTTGTTGCCCAGAAAGTTAAAATCCCACAAACGCAAAGATATACCCTCATTTCCACAGAAAACACAGGCTGCTCATCTCCTAATAATACAGTAAACTGTAGTCATGACAACACCAACTGCATGACATTTGTTTGTAATATCCAATATTCCCCAAACCATGTCTGAAAATGTTTAATCATACACTATTCACATCAACTTGGTGTACAGTAAAAAGTGACAGAATAACATTGGCCATCACACAAAGCATCTGAACTCATGAGATGTATTTTCAAAAAATGACAGCTAACTACATGCATCAACTAAGTCAGCAAGTCTGACCACTGGATCCTGTTCGCTTCATGCACCAAGCATGTGTTGCTGAGACCCCTGCCAGCGTAGATTATCACAGGTCAGTAACTATATGCATGTTGTTTGATTCACCTCTGATGATGACCAATGCAGATTGAGTCAGACCTGCCAGTTAACTCACGCAAGGAAATATATCATTTTAAAGTCTGTTTAGGATGGATATTCACAAATTTGTTCCTTGCATGAATTTTATATATGACATATAGTAGAGTACTTTTTGGACATGTCAGCACCCGCGTCAAGTGAAATATGGATATTCAACACTCAAGCTGTCAGCAAAGATCATCGCAGTCCATTGCTCTTGCATGGAGGGTGCTAACTATATAAGCCACCAACACAATGTGCTTTACATAAACATACAAGATTGTGAACTAAGATTGGTCTTTTCTCATTCTTGGTGTGTTGCATGTGCTGGAGTCACTACAAAAATACTATCCCACCACAACAAAGTATATTGTGCACCCTAGTGGTACAAGATACAGCATATCTATGAATCTGTTCAAGTTGTAAAGGTGTATCTATTCTGAAAAGGTACCACTCCTAATGAACAAGCACTAGAACAACTACTGGGGCTAGTTGACGGTTACCAACAATACTAACTCTGATTACAAGATACTATAAGAACAAGCCCAGATTAAAGTCATGCAAGATGAACACAAAGCGACCAACAGCAACCACTTGAAGAAACATGTGTGTACTGACTCGAATATCACCATGTACTGATACAGAAGTCAGGCATGTTGTCGCACCCCTCTTAAACTTAATAAAAATCTTTTAAAGAATAATTGCATATTGGTCAAAAGTCCAATATTTAATCCATTCCAATATTTTTTTCCAATCAAAACCTTTGAAGTCACAATATTTCCGTACTACAATAAGTAACAAGCAGTACCCCAACACTTGAATAGATATTTGTTGTCAACCCCAGCATAGAACCCTGACTAAATACAACTGACACCCACAATGGCTATTGTAATATGCCCTTCACTCCCACCCATTACCAAGTATTGTCAGGAGCACACGAACTGTTCTCCTGTGTTCTAACAGAGACTCTCATAATATCCCCTGTTTTGACAGGGATAACTGATATCAAACTGTTTATACCTCCCTGACAAAAAACTCTCACCTATCTATTTCAAACATTTCAATATTCCATTTAGAATACACCTATAGACATACCAAGGGTTAGCAAATAAGATCATGTGGGTATTATTCCCTGTCCTGAAAATACCCTTGGTGTAGTGTGGACTGCTGTAGATTTGTCAGTGTTATTGTAACACAAGTCTTTGAGCTACAATAAACAGCACTTTATATAAGTGCAATACATCTAGATTGTCTAGTGTTAAATAAGAGGTGGTGAGGTAGCCTAGAACTTAAGCTGTTTGCTTGTCATGCTGAATGCATGGATTCCATTTCTCAAATTAGTTCGATGTGTGAAGTCCATATCTGTTTCAGCATAATACTTACTTCTCCCTCTTTGATACTCATGAAACATCTTCCCAATTTACATTCAGTTTATACAGGCCATGAAAAATATAGATGCTTTGATCTTGAATGCACATCCATGCTGAACTTGTGTTCAGAATAGATGTTTTCACTGGCTGTCGGTTTAAGCCCATGAACAAGAGAAGTTCTGTACAATGTTGGAGTTAAGGGAGATAAAGCTTACTATTAGTGAAGTCACTTCCTGGGAGATGGAGCTAGAGATGTTACTTCCTAAACAAAGCATTGACAAATCTGTTAGTTTCCCTTGCATACTAATAAAGTGATGGATATCATCTGGTTGTACTGGAACTTATGTCACTTCAATGTCAGGAGACCCGACCACTATTGTGGCCAGATGTTACTGTGGCCACCATAGGACAATGACCTGGTGTAACCGCATTGGCAGGACAATGACCTGGTGTACCCAATCCCACTACATTGTGGCCACCATGCAGCAGGACAATGACCTGGTGTAACTGACCACTACATTGTGGCCACCATGCAGCAGGACAATGACCTGGTGTAACCGACCACTACATGCAGCAGGACAACACCTGGTGTGTGGCCACCATGCAGCAGGACAATGACCTGGTGTAACCTGGTGTAAGACCACTACATTGTGGCCACCATGCAGCAGGACAATGACCTGGTGTAACCGACCACTACATTGTGGCCACCATGCAGCAGGACAATGACCTGGTATAACCGACCACTACATTGTGGCCACCATACATTGTGGCCACCATGCAGCAGGACAATGACCTGGTGTAACCGACCACCTGGTGTACATTGTGGCCACCATGCAGCAGGACAATGACCTGGTAACCGACCACTACATTGTAACCTGGTGTAACTGACCACTACATTGTGGCCACCATGCTGCAGGACAATGACCTGGTGTAACCGACCACTACATGGACACCATGCAGCAGGACAATGGTGGCCACATACATGGCCACCATGCAGCAGGACAATGACCTGGTGTAACCGACCACTACATTGTGGCCACCATGCAGGCAGGACAATGACCAATGGTGGTACCTGGTGTAACCGACCACTACATTGTGGCCACCATGCAGCAGGACAATGACCTGGTGTAACCGACCACTACATTGTGGCCACCATGCAGCAGGACAATGACCTGGTGTAACCGACCACTACATTGTGGCCACCATGCAGCACCTGGTGTGCATTGTGGCAGGACAATGACCTGGTGTAACCGACCACTACATTGTGGCCACCATGCAGCAGTACACACGAGTAAGCTCACAAAATCTTCAGTATTATCTCGTCTTATGAAATAATCACTATGAAAACCTGTCAACACAAACATAGACCCAATTCTAACCTAGTGAAACAAACATCACATTACTTTTCCTTGTTGAACAAACCATGATGAAGAAAAATATTGATAATTAACAAAATCAAAGTGAACTGACCATTAGTAATGAGACAGGCAGCTCTTTCTAAAACATGCAGGTCATGAATTTGCCCAGTTTATCTCCAGGGGCAATATCTGGCATGTTATATCTTATATGCAATGAACAACAGTACAGATACACAATATATTTCTCATATCCCAGTCAAAACAATGTTTCTTTGTATCTGATCCTGTTATTGACCATGGTGAAAAATACTGTCAGAAAAACATTAATCACAGGACGCAAGAAGAATAATGAACACTTCACTGCCTGAAATATACATGAAACTACACACAGTGACAGATCCCTCAACAATGAGATTACTCCCCAAGCATAATTTATGAGTCATTGACTGAAATTGACAACTGACTCCAAAATGCATTAAGCAAAGATAAGATTGCCTTAAGAATTGGCTGTGATTTAATCAATGTCAACTAGAAATAAGCACATAAGCATAGTGTGGCTATTCATAAACTTTGATAATCTTCATGAACATCAACAAGGAAATTAACAACACAACAACTTAACTTACATCTGAAATAGGTATGTGGGTGACTGTCGACGTCTATATCACTCAGTAGGGACGGAGACACACGAGTAATTAAAAATCAATCAAAACTAGTCTTCCGCTGTCGAATTTATTGATCAAGGTCTCAGATTACTTAATCCCTGTCCTATGAAGAGTCAACACGGCAATCACAGGGTATCTGATCGCTGCTGCAATGGGGGTGTGTGAAATTAGCGTGATATTGACAACCCTGGTGGCACAGTGAAACCAAGACTACCATTGTGGTACGTTACAGCCTGGCCGAGCAGAACCATACTGACACCAATATCACAACTGCCGCAAACAAAAGTGTAAAGGCATTCTTTTCATGGGAACCACACAAGGGGAAACTTGTCACTTGAGCACACCTTGGAGCGGACTACCAGTTTCTTTTATCTACAATCTTTACAGCGCTTGGTCAAACATGGGTCTGGATTACTGCAAATCCCAGCAAACAGACAGTACCTTTCAAAGTCAGGATTTGACATCTACTAACCTAACACTGGGATAATAAATTTGACAATCAAATCATCGGTAGCAATTACTTGCAACAGGTCATGAATAATGGAACCAAATTTTCCCATTGCATAAATTGCTGTCAATCTGGACAGATTTTGACCCCTTGTATAAATAGCCATCAGCTATACTGGGGAACTAATGTGGCCAGCCATTGGGAGGGACACACCTGAATCGTGGAAAGGGTGTTTGTGAGTGTGATTTACCTGTCAGGTATGAACTGCCTTGTGGTCATAGAGACAGCAGGTGACAATTATGGAATCGTATGTGCTGTGAAAACCTCCATTGAAATTGCAAATAAAGAATTCCAATACAGCAAGATTGAGCTATTGAGGACGAGTGTCTAATGTGGTGTACACAGCAACACGTCAACATGGGCCACTCGAGTGATCTCCAGTCTAGGCGATACTTATGTTGTCTTATACAGATATCATAAATCTCTGCCAACAGTTTTATGGATTAAAGTAAAGCTGGTATATAACGTCAGATTCTGTGGAAAAGTGGAGATGACACTGATGTCCATTACAGAAACAGGGAAATCAACCATCATGAAATGTGAAATGGATTACTAGATAAGAAGTGTAAGCTCTGTGTTTTCTTAATTTCTGGAGTAAATTTGTGAACGAAAGATTCAACCATACTACTGAGAATGGTGACTGATGCAATTCAAGAAGATAGCTGATGACGTTGGAGACAGGACACTTATGTGCACTGACGCTGCCCCAGACAACTCTCTCACACATCAACCGCTGGTGAAATAATGTACCAGTGCAGTGCTGGTATACATGTCTTATACAAACTTGTCAATATCGAAGAAAATCATTGACTGATCTGGAAGCATATGAAATCCTTGTGTGTATACAGGAGCTAATATACAGATTAAGCTCTCAGTCATTCAAGATAGGTAATGGGTTATAGTGAACATACACAAATACTTGGAGTAAGTCAATAGTTATATAGCCTGTTCTCAATATGAAGAAATACGACCAAATTGAAAAGTTGGCAGAACAGTTTGCCAAACTTATCATTGCAGGAAGTGAAAGTGATATTCGTGAAGCACTGGAGCTTTATGGGAAAGACAGTCGTGAACTTTGCTCCACAATTATCAGCAATGGAAATACGGGAATTCATATACTCGCTCAAAGACATAAACCATCAATCATCAAGTTGGTACTGGACAAGGGAGTGGACATAAATGCGAGGAACAACTTCGGCTTTACTCCTTTGTATGTTGCACTGTTCTACGGAAACGTTGAAACAGCCAAATTCCTGATGCGATGTGGTGCAGATGTGAATATGCTGCTGTCCAGGAAATCTCGAACATCTCTCCTCCATAAATTAACTTTTGCGAACAGGCTACAAGCTGTTCAGTTGTTGATTGAACATGGAGCAGACGTCAATGCCAAAGACAGAGAGGAAAGGTCACCTCTACATCTTGTGATGGTCAAAGGAAACACGAAGATGGCCACGCTACTAATTGACAGTGGATGTGATATCAATTCAGTGGATGAGCAGCAGAAGTCTCCCCTTCATACAGCTCTCTTGTGCAAGAACACAGAAATGGCCAAGCTTTTGATACATGCAGGAGCAGACGTGACAATTCGAGACAGATGTGGGATGACGCCACTCCACCTGTCAGTGATGGCCAAGTTCATGGACATGGCCAAAATGATCATCAAGAGAAGTACAATGAACATCAACACCAAGGAAAAGCTGCTAGGCAGAACTCCCCTCCATTTAGCATGTGCTGACAACAACCTCAAACTTGCTTCACTTCTGCTCGAGAATGGAGCAGACGCAACTTTGACAACAAATTTCAGGAAGTCTCCTCTCCATTTAACAGCATTGTGTGGTGGAGCAGAGACGACAAATCTCCTTTTGCGATACACAAGCAATATAAACATCCTAACAATAAACAACAAAACCCCCCTGCATATTGCTGTCCAGGAAGAAAATTTCAACGTAGCTCTAATTCTAATTCAAGCAGGTGCAAATATAAACCTTCATGATCTGCACGGTCTGACTGCCCTTCACTACACTGCCCAGTCTGGCAACATGGAGTGTGCCAGACTACTCATGAGATATGGGGCAAACGCGAACGACTCCGACACCCGTCAGATGACACCTCTGCATATGGCCATCCAGAATGGTCATATTGAAGTGGCAAAGTATCTTATCCGAGCCGGTGCACGTATTACCATGACAGATGAGGACAACAAAGTGCCATTTGACTATGATGAGACAGGCGAGGTGAAGGCGTCATATGAGAGGATGCAGGCTCGGTTACAGAGGAAACGATCACTAGAGGCAGCTGCTGCTGCAGCAGCTCAGACTATAGGATGACGAGAGCAGGGATGTTGGTGGAACTTTAACTGCTGATGTGAGATGGTTGGTGGAACTGCTTATGTGAGGAAATATCCGTAACTGCTGATGTTTTATGGCAATATGTCTGTATCAGAGAAATACTGTGTACTATTTTCTTAAGGTAAAATATTTCAATCAGTATTACAACATAGTAAGATCTTCATAAGTCATTGACTTACATGGGGCGGTGGGGTAGCCTCATGGTTAAAGCGTTGGCTCGTCACGCCGAAGACCCGGGTTCGAATCCCCACATGGGTACAATGTGTGAAGCCCATTTCTGATGTCCCCCGCCGTGATGTTGCTGGAATATTGCTAAAAGCGGCGTAAAACCAAACTCAGTCAGTCAGTCATTGACTTACATAATGGGACCATAAAACTATATGATTTATTCCATGGCAGACATCGAGCCAAATGCTTACATCAGACCCAGAAGCTGATAATGTAGCTGCCAAGCAACAATGTGTCTGGGCTGGTAAAATCAATAAGACACCATTTTACAGTAATTTGTGACAACTTGATCTCAAACAGCCCAATTTCAATGGCCCAGTTTCAGTGGTCTTTGTATTGAATCCAAATCAATTTGTATTAGCGAAAATAAAAACTGTTTCACTGACAAAAAGTTTTGAGCATAAAAAGTACTGCTTTATTATATATTTTGGACATGCCTACATATCAATACCTTAAAGATTTGCTTGTGAGTTAGAAACCTGATTATGTAGGAATATATGGTGAAAGCCAGTATGTCTCCATGTTGTCAGGCTTGAGCCTAACTGTTGCACCAAATGAATAATGTTTGATTTATCAATGAACCCCCTGAAATCTGTGTCAACTATTATTATTATTATTATTATTATTATTATATGTATGTGATCCTCAAATGTTTCCTATATGTTGGGCATCTATATTACCAGTAGTTTTGAATAAAACCTCTTAGAATTTGTGGCTGATTGATAACTTTTGTTATATTTATTCATGTACTCTATATGCATGATTAACTGTCAGGATTTGTATATTTACAAAATAAATATTCTTCTAAAATGTATTTTTACTGATTTTTTTGTGTGTAGAATTATTATTTTGACACATCACTTTTTCAAAGACGGCAATTATATAGTTCCAGCAACGTCACGTATGTTCATGTATGCTGACAAAATCATTCTTTGCTTGAATAACCATAATATGGTTTGTAATTCCAATCAAAACGACATAGCAGCATGATTAGCGACAGTTTTCATGGACTGACTGGCTTGAGGCAAGAGCAAATATCAATGGAAGAAATTGGTCGTATATTTGTCTATTTGTCCATATGATATGTGTTGGAATGGAAAGAGTACACAAATATACTGACGTAATTATAGTGAGTAAGTGAATGAGTTGAGTTTAAGCCGCATTTAGCAATATTCCAGCAATATCACGACAGGGGACACCAGATATGGGCTTCACACATTGTACCCATGTGGGGAATCGAACCCGGGTCTTTGGCGTGAGGAGTGAACGCTTTAACCACAAGGCTACCCCACCGCCCCTGACGTAATTATAACATTCAACACAAAGAACTCTTCTCAGCAAGGAATGAATGTTCCTAGGGAGATGGTCAAAGTTTGGTGTCAGATGAAAATCCAAATTACTTATCATGCTATCCATCCAACTTGATTATTGGACTGTATCACACTTCACTGACACCCTGTCGATCTCAATTTTCTGCCCCCATCACACATTCATCAATGAACAGTCCCTTAATAATGCTTACATTTATATTTCATTTCAAAAAGGACAATGGTGATAGGGTGGTGGGGTTGCTCAGTGGATAAAGTGTTTGCTCGTCATACCGAAGGCTCAGGTTTGATTCCCCACATGGGTACAATGTGTGAAGCCAATTCTGGTGTCCCAAGCCGTGATATTGCTGAAATATTGCCAACAGCAGCGTAAAACCCAACTCACTCACTCCCTCACAATGGTGATAGCCCCGCTGTCACTTGTCTCCCACCCCCATCTCCCTGGCCCACCCACTTCCTACATTACAGGACCAGTCACTCACTCCCTCACAATGGTGATAGCCCCGCTGTCACTTGTCTCCGTCCCCCATCTCCCTGGCCCACCCACCTCCTACATTACAGGACCAGTCACTCACTCCCTCACAATGGTGATAGACCCGCTGTCACTTGTCTCCCACCCCCATCTCCCTGGCCCACCCACCTCCTACATTACAGGACCAGTCACTCACTCCTTCACAATGGTGATAGCCCCGCTGTCACTTGTCTCCCACCCCCATCTCCCTGGCCCACCCACCTCCTACATTACAGGACCAGTCACTCACTCCCTCACAATGGTGATAGCCCCGCTGTCATTTGTATGCCACCCCCATCTCCCTTGCCCACCCACCTCCTACATTACAGTACCAGTCACTCACTCCTTCACAATGGTGATAGCCCCGCTGTCACTTGTCTCCCACCCCATCTCCCTGGCCCACCCACTTCCTACATTACAGGACCAGTCACTCACTCCCTCACAATGGTGATAGCCCCGCTGTCACTTGTCTCCCACCCCATCTCCCTGGCCCACCCACCTCCTACATTACAGGACCAGTCACTCACTCCCTCACAATGGTGATAGCCCGGCTGTCACTTGTCTCCCACCCCATCTCCCTGGCCCACCCACCTCCTACATTACAGGACCAGTCACTCACTCCCTCACAATGGTGATAGCCCCCGCTGTCACTTGTCTCCCACCCCCATGGCCCACCCACCTCCTACATTGATACTCCCTCACAATGGTGATGTCACTTGTCTCCCACCCCCATCTCCCTGGCCCACCCACCTCCTACATTACAGGACCAGTCACTCACTCCCTCACAATGGTGATAGCCCAATGGTGATAGCTGTCACTTGTCTCCCATACTTGTCTCCCACCCCATCTCCCTGGCCCACCCACCTCCACATTACAGGACCAGTCACTCACTCCCTCACAATGGTGATAGCCCGCCCTTGTCTCCCACCCCCATCTCCCTGGCCCACCCACTTCCTACATTACAGGACCAGTCACTCACTCCCTCACAATGGTGATAGCCCCGCTGTCATTTGTATCCCACCCCCATCTCCCTTGCCCACCCACCTCCTACATTACAGGACCAGTCATTAACCTGGACTCGACCTCTTCAACAAATGTAAATATGCTGGCACTTACCACACAACAGAGTATAATTGTACAGCAGGCTCAATAACGTTATGTGACAAAAGCACGTGCTTGGATATTGTGTACACATATTACAGCATGCGGCAGTCGATACTAATTATATATTATCCTAAAGTATGTGTGATAAACATGACAGGAGGCCCTGTAAACTAACTACAAACATGCTGAAAACACTGTTGCTTACATGACATGTACGTGACATGTGCACTGACACCATGAAATGTACATATAACCCCTCTCACATTCCACTAACCATAATTCTACAGACATGGCAGCTACAAGAGCTCAAACACTGTGGAGACCACGTCTGGATTGCCACCTACAACTGAAGGAGGCAGGTAAACACAATAAGAAATGTACACATGACATGAAGGAATCTGCACCAGGACTTGATGAACAATAAACTCGCCAATGTCAGTGGTTGAGTGTCTGGGCAAGGACTGGATCACCCCCCTTCCTTGACAAGTCATGACACACAAGCATAGACAAAGAGACTTGAAGAGGCCGTCGAAATAAGCAAATGTATGTCATTGTACATAGACATGAAATATGACCCAAAATGAAATGAACCATCACTTGGAGGAACTGTGATAAGACTTACAGATAGGTCATTAACCATGCAAATACTAAGAACTAAATCTGTATCTCTCTTCCCCTTAAGCTGAGTCTCTCTTGCATGACTGGCAAACCCTACAGTTAGACTGATCCTGGCTGTAGTATGTACATCTGATCTACAAAGTAAGTCTTTGTTGGTGGAACATTGAGGAGAGATCTCATATCATGAGCAGCCCAATTCTTGCTACTGCTGCAGTTGATCACAACAAGGGGACCCTCAGTGACTTTGCCTAAGTCCACGCTGTATTGATATAGGAACCTGGGAGACAGACAGCCTGGCACCTCCTGGTGCTGCAATTGACAAATGCTCAGTCTCTGAATATATATAATTTGATAGAAACAAATACCTCCATTTAAATTGAAAAGGAGACCCAGTGAGCTCAGAGATTCTGAACCTGTGGAAATGTGGACCTGATTCATATAGGGCTTCTGCATTACAGAAATGGTTGGGTGGAAGGGACATAGCATGGTGCAGGGACTGTGAGACAGACTAGACTGTGTGTCCAGTCATTTGTTTACTGCCTGCTGCAATATATTAGTCCTGGCAACCTGTCATTTATCCCAGTGAAAACACTAATCACTGAATGAAAAACAATAAAGAGACACTTTGAGAGATCCAACTCTTGTTGTCAAGTGTCTGTGGCCTGTGTTATATGGCAGTGGACATTGTTGTAAGTCTTGAAAATTGCTAGTGGAAGAGTCCTGTACAATATCTAGTGGCCCACCTGAAGTGTGATATATGAAGTCAAACATACCTCCCTTGATTGTTTGTCAACAACACCTGGACATTCATCACCGGGAAGGTTTCATGAGGTGACAATTTCTTGAAGGAAGGCTGTACCTATATCATGCAGGACTGAGATAAGGTCAATTTGGGGCCTTTTATGACAAGACCTGTGCCTTCTTGACTTGCCCAGTGTGGAGCAGACACCCATTTGAAAACAAAATTTACCATCAGCTTCCAACATGAGTCCAACTTCAAGAATGAAACTCATGCCTCTTTCAAGACATTTGACAGTGACAACTTGTGGACATTCGTCAGTACACATATGTATAGTACACAGTTATAAGGCCTTTTCCTTCTTGCTGCTGATTTGACCCATTGTACCACTGTTGTTACTCTGACCCTGAAACTGTGGGTTTCAATACAAATTGTTAATTATTGATTGATTTTGTGTGTATATCAATTCATTTGACAAGTCAGTTCTGTACAAATCCAATTTTAGGGTAAAACTCAATCTGGAAATCAGCACCCACCCACGAATCTGAGCAGTTCTGTGGACTTCAGCCCTACATGAATGATGAATGTAGCAATACTTGACATTACCAACCAGTGGCTTAAATGACAATAGAAATTTGTCATCATGATGGTTTATTACTTAGTACAGTTAACAATATATTGAGATCACTCAGGTATGCAGAAATCATATTTCTGTCACATTTTGAGAGGACTGAATTTCAAGTTCCAAGTTATATGTTACCTGTC